CGCACTCGCTGCACTTTCTGTTAGACAATATCCTATTTTGCGTTTAGAAATTATGTAAGAGCAGCAGTCACGAGGCAGGGCAAATCGGAGAAAGGGTCATTCATTGCCCGTCGTGGATGAACCCAGTTTAATGCATGCGTTTAGAAAACACTGTTCTCTCTGTTCAGAAATATTAGTTCACATTCCACTCATTTTGATAACCTTTTCCTTTCTCATCCCAACTAGCCAGCTGCGGCACCGTCAGAACACGCAGACCAGGGGCTGCCTCTCCTCCCGGCTTGACCGGCACCGCCTCAAGCACAGCGAAGGACAGACCCTGACCTCAAAGTCCCTGTCACCAGATGCCACTCAGGAGTTGTGCAAGGGGCAAACGGGAAAGTTCCTGCACGGCAAACTAAGCATTAGGAAGAAAATAAGAGGCAAGTTCTTTAAAGGAAAGAATTGTGTGATCCTCCCATAAAAATATGAGAAAGTAAAAAAATAAATAAAACATTTAAACACACCCACAGGATTGTGTGATCCTAGGTTGGCATGTCTGCCACCCCCATCCCTTGCCAGCAGACAGCATTACAAGTGAGGGGCTGACCATGACCCAACGCCTGACCACTTAGGAATTCCATCAAGTAAGAATTAGGGTCGGGGATAGAGCTCAGAGGTGGAACGCCTGCCCAGCACATGTGAGGTCCTGGATTCAATCCCAGCACTACACACAAAAGACAATCAGATCAATAAGTCATGGTTCATAAGAATTTCATAAAAAAAAAAAAAGAGCTGGGCAGGGTGGCACCTGCCTGTAATTCCAGTGACTCAGAAGGCCAAAACAGGAGGATCGCAAGTTTACAGCCAGCCTTGGCAACCGAGTGAGACCCTGCCTCAAAGTAAAAATAAAAAGGGCTGGGGTCGTGGTTCAGTGGTTAAGTGCCCCTGGGTTTGACCCCTGGGGGACAGAGGGAGAGTCAGAAGGTCACACACCAAGGGGCGAGGGTATTTACCTCTAGAAGGGCCTGGCATGGCAAAGAACACTTTAGCTTACAGTGTTTTAATTGTTTACGGGAGACATATTTGAGTAAGAACAGGCACGGTTTATTTTTCCATGTTCCCTGGTAATCAATCCTTTGACTTGTCAACATCACCAACTGGATAGCGAGGACCCTCTTTCCCATCTGGTTATCAGGGGTGCGGTGGGGTGGGGGTGAAGCGTCTGTTTTTATCTTCAGGTTCAGCGCCTGGGTCTTGAGCCACAAGATGACCTGTTCCAACACGTATTGGTTCCTTCGCAGACCCAGATTAACTAGCTCCAAATTCTCAAGTCCTTTGAAGTCTTCAGACTCAAAACCCTGTCAGCGGCATCGTGGCAAAGGAAAAGGGATTCACTGTTCCCTAAGTTTTTATTGACAATAAAACCCCTAATTTAGGCTTTTTCCCTCCCTTACTGTTCCTCTAAGGAACATGCTATCCTCAGGATACCCAGATACGGACTCGTGCCCAGAGATAAGATCTGGCAAGAGAACACTGCACGTCTGGCCACACTGGCACCCAACCCAGAAGGAAAGCAGCCCATGCCATGGGGTGGATGCGGGCTCAGGGGGTGGTTTGGACATGGTGCTTATGACCTGCAGGTCCACACGAGGGACGCTCACCTCTTCAAAAAGAGTAGAAAAATGAGCACACACCCGGACCTGAAATAGCACACACACAGGGCCTACTCTGCACATAAAATCTCAGGAGGCAACAGTTCAGCAGTACTGACCACTGTCCCCCAGCGCTGACCACTGTCCCCCAGCGCTGACCACGGTCCCCCAGCGCTGACCACCGTCCCCCAGCGCTGACCACCATCCTCAGCGCCGTGTGGCTGACGGCAGGAGGAGGAAGACGGCCATGCCCTGCACAATGACATAATTCAGTCACTTGTGGAAACCCTAGGAGACATTTGTGTCTGATTCTAAGGCCATCAGAAATCACAGGAACCGAGGATAAGAACTGAAACGCTGTCTCTGTTTGGCCTGACACTGACATAAGCTTCCTAAGCAATGAAGGAAAACACAGATGCGACAGTCACACTGTTGCCCGATTTGGGAAATCACAGTGTTTCAAGACAGAAAGCAAAATCACTTTAAAACGTCAGTGTTTACAGACTGCTCCATCCGCTCCCGTGTGTGCGATGCGGAGATGAACTAATCTGTCGCCTCTGTGGGGAGGAGGTAAGCGCTACTCGTAAAAATAGCAAAATGATGCTCTCGATGTAGAAAAAGCCCACATCTTTGGAAATATTCAAGTAACCGAGGATAGCAACTCCATCTGTCAGTACGCATCAAAAATCCTAAAACTGGGGCTGTGGCTCAGTGGTAGAGCACTCGCCTAGCATGTGGGAGGCCCTGGGTCTGATCCTCAGCACCACATAAAAATAAATAAATAAAGATATTGTGTCCAACTACAACTGAAAAATAAATAAATATTAAAGATAAAACCCCTAAAACTGCCTTGGGATCCAGCCACGGCACTTGGTTAACCGCCTTGGATCTGACCCGAAAGGCGGGTGGGGGTTGGGGGGAGGACCTGGGAAAAAACTGTTGGTGCTGGGGATGGCACCCAGGACCTCAGGCTTGCTAAACACGTGCTCCCCACTGGGCTCCATCCCAGCCCTGTCCTGGAAATGGCCGGACCACAGAGGGCCAGAACTCCCAGTGTGTGTGGAGCCTGCACATTAAGTGGAAACCTGATTGCCAATAAGTTGAGATGGATATAGTATTGTGAAAATACCAACCCACGGGGTTGGAACCAAAAGTAGAGAATAAAAGATTAAATCAGTAGTTAGGAACTTTCTCACAAAGAAGTATCATTAAACATGTAGGGAATAATTTCATCTTTCCTTTAGTATTTCAGGAAAAAAAGAGGGCTGGGGTTGTGGCTCAGCGGTGGAGCACTCGCCCCACATGTGCGAGGCCCTGGGTTCGATCCTCAGCACCACGTAAGAGTAAATAAATAGAATAAAGGTACTGTGTCCACTGCAACTAAAAAAAAAAAAAAAAAAGAAAGAGCAACCCTCTAAACTCCTAAAAAAAGCAGAGGAGAACAGACAAGAACTGAAAACCATAGACCAATTTCAAGGAAAACGTCTTAAGTCATGTATTTTTAAAAATTCCGCTTATGTATTAAAAATGTACATCATAATGTCATTGAGTTTGTCCCAGGAATTTGCTAATCTGGTTCAATGTAGTATAACTGATTCATGTAATTTACTACATTGATGAATTAAAGGAAGAAGACAAATATTTAATGATATTCAGTACCAAATCAAGCTTAAAAAACAAACCTCTTGGTAAAAGAGGGAAAATACTTTAACCCAACAAAGGATTTATCAAAATCATTCTTCATGGGAAAACCTTGGAGCGCCCTCTCTCTAGCCAAGGAGACAAGGAAGTCCCCAGGGACTGCGTCCACCAGACGCGGAGGGGCTCCCCAGCAGCAGAGGAAGACAGAGACACACCCCCCCAGGCAAGGGGTCGGGACGGGGGAGTAGGGCTGTCTGCAGAAAAACCCAAGCAGAATCACAAAGATCACCCCCCAAACTCCAGCCGGAACATGAACCAGGAGCCCTGCATTCTACTGCCCCGTGAGACAGACAGGGGCGAAGGGGAAAAGGAAGAAAGGAAAGTCTGATCGGGTTTATATGAAGGTGAGAAGGAGACAGAATGACAAATCCACTCACTGGGGGTACATCTACACGTGGAGAAACTGTGAGGAAGAGCGAGGAAAGGATTTAGCCCAGATTCAGGACAGGGTTTAGCCCTGGGGTGGGGATCAGGAGGAGGGCCAGGTCCGGGAGGGGCCATCAAAGCAGCAGCAGTCCAGCTGCCTAAGACAGAGCCTGCAGCCGCCAGTAGGTGCGGCTTCTGTACTTCTTTTTTGGTACTGGGGATCGAAACCAGGGGCACTCAACCATGAAGCCACATCCTCAGACCTTTTCAAATAGTTGTATTTAGAGATAGGGTCTTGCTAGGTTACTTAAGGCCTCACTAAACTTTTGAGGCCAGCCTTGAATTTCCAATCCTCCTGCCTCGGCCTCCTGAGTTGTCAGGATAACAGTTGTCACAGCCACTAAGCCCAGCTTTTATTATTCTTTACGTTGTACATATACAGTATTCATTGAGCTTTGTTTTGTGAAGCTGGGAATTGTACCCGGGGCCCCACGACTGACAGGCAAGTGCTCATCCCCATCCCTCTAGATTTCCGGGTTGGAGGCAGGTTTTGTACCAGGGATGGAACCCAGGGGTGCTTTGCCACTGAGCCACATCCCCAGCCCTATTTTGTATTTTATTTAGAGACAGGTCTCACTGAGTTGTTGCTGAGGCTGGCTTTAAACTCATGATCCTCCTGTCTCAGCCTCCAAGCTGCTGGGATGACAGGCATGTGCCACCCGCCTGGTTAAACGCCATATCTTGAAGCGAGGAATTTGGCAGAATTGGGCAAATTCTAATTCATGCCATTTTTCAACTAAAGTCATTTCCAACTAATCTGGCAAAAGCAAAGGATGTCTACAAAACCACATGGCTTTCCCCACCGGGAAGCAGGGTCCTGCGGGAACGCGGCTGTTCAACAGGCGGATAGTGTGGAGGCTTTGGGAAACAGGGAAAGGGCTTCCAGGGAAGAAAGGCCTTGGAGCAGCGCAGACCAGCGGCTCCCTGCGCAGGGACCTGAGGCGCAGCCCAGCCTCCAGGGCAGGCAGCAGCCGGTGGGTGCTTCGAGGCAGCCTGGAAGCAGCCAAGCTCCCCCAGTGGGCAGAAGCACTGCCCGGCCTCCAGAAACCGTCTTTGAAAAGCCATGAGACGGGCTGCTGCCATGGGCACGGGTCCTGGACCCTGGACAAGCTGCTGGGCTCCTCACCTGGAGGCTCCACGGGATGGAAAACGCCGGACTCTGAGCCCTTCCGTGGCTCATCGGAAAGGGACCGTGGGGCGGGCGCCGGGGGCGAAGACAGGCGGGGGGGGGGGGGCCCTCACCTTCTCCACGTCGGCCTTGGTCACGTTGATGTCCGCGTCCATCTTCTCGAAGTACTGCTGCGCCCGGTCGGCCTCCTTGCAGTCCCGCTCGAACCGCCGCTTGCTCTGCGCCCGGAACACGGAGCCCGTTACCCAGGGGGCACTCTTACCCCCCAGCCCCAGCTTTCTGGACTGGTTTCTTGTAGGCCGAGGTCTCCAGAAGCCATTTTAAAATCTGCATTTATTTCCATTAAGACTGTCTCATCTCTGCTCTTCCCACGACTTCTAGAAAAAAGAAACACTCGAGCACTCTGGCCCCACGTTTGATGGAGGTAATGGCTCTGGAAGCAAGTTAAATGGAATTCCAAGGAGAAAAGTCTGCGAAGGCGTCTTTTCAGTGTTTTTGTTTACTTATCTACTTTTGCTCACTGAGCGATTCAAGCCTAGATCAAACTCGAATCAGAAAAAATCCATAAAGAGTTGCTTTGGGGCTGGGGATACAGCTCCGTGGGTGGAGGCCTGCCTCTCAGGCACAAGGGCCTGGGTTCAGCCCCCAGCACGAGGGGCGGGGGGAGGGAGGGGGGAGGGGGGTGAGGGAGGGGAGGGAGGGGGGGGAATCGCCTTCGAGGTTTGCTTTCACTTACGGACTCAAGCTGCTTCCAGCAGGTCTCCATGTGCTGCTGCGCTTTCCGGCCATCGTGGAAGTTCTGCAAAGGGGAACACTCGGCATCAGTGCCCCCGGCCTCACGTGGTCACAGAGAAGACACTTTCCCACACTTAGGTAATACGGACACCCCCACATCTGGGATGGGGCTGGGTGTGACTCAGGGTAGAGCGCTGGCCCAGCCACAGTGACGCTGGCGGTGCAACCCCAGCACCCCAAAACCAGTCCACGTGGACCACCTAGGACAGGCCTCCAGAGGGAGAGTGGGAAAACCTAGAGAGGGCTCCCTCCAACACTCTACAACAGCCTGATGGAGGGGACAGGAGGTCCTCAAGACAGCAGCCACCTGGTCATTTCAGCTGTTCTGAGGTGTGATCCACACGTCACGGGTCGGACCCACCTAAATTGTTTGGGACCACCACAATTGATTTTAGAACATTTTCATCAGCCCCCAAAGTAAAACCGAACCTCTTAGTCGTCACCCTCTACCCCCGCCCTGCGTTGTCCCCAACCCCAGAAAGCCACCATTATAGCTCCTGTCTGTGAATCTGCCGGTTGTGGGTATTTCGCATGAGCAGGTCACAGAGCCAGGAGAACTGTGTGACTGGCTCAGTGTCTCCATGATCTCTAAAGACTCATCCAGGGGCTGGGGATGTGGCTCAAGCGGTAGCGCGCTCGCCTGGCATGCATGCGGCCCGGGTTCGATCCTCAGCACCACATACCAACAAAGATGTTGTGTCCGCCGAGAACTAAAATAAATAAATAAAATTCTCTCTCTCTCTCTCTCCCCCTCTCCTCTCTCTTAAAAAAAAAAAAAAAAAAAAAGATCATGAAAACGTTCATACTTTAAAAAAAAATAAAAATAAAATAAAGGCTCATCCATGTGGTCACAGTGTCAGGACCTCAGTCCTCTTCATGGTCAGATGACACCCCGCCGTGGGCCAATGCCACACTTCACTTGTCCGTCCGTCCGTCAGGGGATGGACGTTGGTTTGTTCCCAGTTTGGGCCACTGAGAAGGCTGCGGCAAACTCTTGTGTAAAAGCTTCACATGGATGAGCGCTTTCATCATCTACATTGATTGATTGATTGATTGATTGATTGGATCTGCAGGGCTGGGGATGACCTCGGGATCTTGCAAATGCTGAGCCAGCCCCTGCCACTGAGCCACACCCCCAGGCCCTTTAGCCAACCCAGCAGAATTTCCTGGGGGTGGGACCAGAGCTGTGATGCCGAGATGTCCAGGTGACCCCAGGCTTGGGGTCTGGGCTTTAGGAGAGGAAGCCCAAAGAAATCGGGTCGGAGGGGGGAGGGCCAGATGCACAGCACTAGTTTGGTCTAAGAGTGGAATTTCTGCGAGACTTCCCCGTGGACAGTCTAATGTGGTGGGTGAGCGGATCTGAGGGTAGGGAAGGGTCAGAGCCAGGGATCCACGTAGAGTCACCAGTGTTGGGTGGCAGGTGCGCAGAGGAGAAGGTAGGTGAAGGAATGACGGGAGCCAAGAGGTCCCCTGGGCACATCCGCAGAGCTCTGAGCTTACCCACACCCACGACTGGGCGGAGCCGCGTGGACGCTGACCTGGGGAAGGCCTGGGGAGGGCTGAGGGGAGCCGGAGCCGGGGTTGGGAAGAACAGTGCTCCTTTATGGGGGACAAACCGGGCTCCCTGGGGCGGTCAGGTTTCCCTGCTCCGTCTCTTCCAGCCCAGGAGGAGCCCTGGGGACTTCATTATTCAGCTCTCACAATGGACCCAGGAATAAAACCGAAAAGCCCAGGAGTCTAAAGCTGGGGATCACACCCAGCAAGGAAAAGGCTGTGGAAGGATCAAGAAGCAGAGCTCAGGGCAGGGGAGGAGGTCCCGGGGACAGGGGGCCAGCCGCCAGCAGGGGTGAAAGGGTCCCTGGCAGAAGTCACCTGGGGTCAGAGTCGGCCCTGGCAGTGAGGCGCCTTCCTGGCCCTGGCCTGGTGGCTCCCTCCCCCTGTGGGGGAGCTTGTGGCCCTGGTCCTCTTCATGCTCTGAACACAGCCCTTGCTGCTCCGCGGCTGCGACTCACTTTTACTGAGGACATCTTTCTTTCTCTTCTTCTCCCCCTGCTCCTCCCCAACCCCCCCACCAATCTCAGGGGACACGGGGTCACCGTTCTTCCCCATCCTAGACAGAGTCACGACGAGGCCCGGGGCACACACCCACCACACGAACCAAGTCAGACTCTGGGATGGCACCAGATCTCAGAAATGGCCATCTCCCAGATCAACCAGGGAATCACACCTCAACTCCACAGCGAGACGGAAGGCAGCCTTGAGCCACCTCCTCAAAGCCCCTGGTCCCTGCTGGGCAGAACCCCGGCCCGGGGACAGGAGTCCCCGTTTCTCTTTTGCTAGGAGAGCAATAAACCTGCTTTTCCCCTTTCTCCAAACCGTGTCCTTGCTATGGGATGGGGGTTGGGACGAGGACTGAGCCTTTGGTCACAAGCTGTCCCCATTCCCAAGCAGGACCACAGAGTCCTGAGGTTTGCTGACGGGAACCATCTTTCCCAAAAGGTCTCACTGGAGACTCAAAGGCAGGTGCACCAAGAGCAGGGAGCCCGGGGACGCTGCAGAGCTCTGCTTTGTCTCCACGGCAACTCTTATTTTTATTTTTTATTTATTTTTGGTACCAGGGATTGAGCCCAGGGGTGCTGAACCACGGAGCCACATCCCCAGCCGTTTTTTAGATTTTTTAACTTGGAGACTAAAAATATTACAAAAAAATAAATAAAAATAAAACCCCAAACGACAACAGAAAAGCCAAACCCCACGGCCTTCCTGGCAGCGTGGCCCCCGGACCACATCCCTCCAAGCAGAGCCCGCCCTGCGGCGGCCTGCACCCCCAGCCCTCTGTGCCAGCCCCCTGCCCCCTCGGGGAGGAGCGAGTGGAGGGCTGCGCCGCAGATGCACTCGGTGTTCCCCAACAAACAATGGCAGAGCTGCGCCTCCGGACAGTGGGCAAGCATTGTCCAGAGGGCCTCCGGCTCCACAGAGAGGGGAATTGTCCTGGGGACGAGATAATCAGAGCTTTGGGAGCGGGAGGAATGAAGTCACCAGAGAGCCCCTCCTACCAGGGACCAGGTCCCCACTCCTGTGAGGAGATGGCTTTCATTTCTCCCAAAACATGATGGGACTTAAAAAAAGAAATGCCCGATGATATCGCAGGTGACAGCCACAGTTACTTATTCCCATTTTAACTTTAGTCTCCACAGATGAATCACCTTTGGAGATTTGTTTGAAAAACTTCCCAGGGGCYAGGGGAAGCCCAGAGACGGCTCAGCAACAAAATGAAAAAGCACCACAGAGAACCCAAGCCACACAGCGCCCAGGAGATGGAGGAGATGGACCACCGGAGGCGGGGCGAGCCGCGGAGTGTCCCCGCTGGGCAGAGAGGGTGACACTGGCTCATCCTGCCCCGTTTATGTAGATCAAGCCACTAGTGGTCGAAAAACCAAACCACAGCACTGAGCGCCTTTACACAAATAAGTAGAAGAAATAAGAGAACCAGCACCCAAGTAAGGACAGTCAACCAGCACCCAAGTGAGCACGGTCAACCAGCACCCAAGTGAGCACGGTCGACCAGCACCCAAGTGAGCACGGTCGACCAGCACCCAAG